GCGCTAAAGTACACAAAAAAGCGTTTTATGGCGTTTTGACCCCGAATAAATTTTTTTAACGCAGGACTGTTATTACGAAAGTTGTTTATCTAAAAAAAACACATAAAATTTATATACACTTTTTTTTCCTACGATGGACCGTTTCGGAGTTATATCAGGGTTCCGAATTTTCTCAATTATTTATTAAAAAACTCCTGTGGGGCGCGTGTTCCCTTTGACCGATTGACCTAAAATTTTGCAGGAATTTTTTTTTTATGATTTGGAACCGATTTGGGGGGCGCCTCTGTTAAATTTTTTCCGACCCCTAAATAAGGAACACCCTAATATATATATATTTAGGTTTCCACGGGCGTTATATGTATTAGTGGTTTTTCGGGACCTGCTCCGTGTTGTCGGTTTTTGGTTCTTAAAAGAACCGTATGTCTAATATATATATATATACAGTGTGTTCCATTTAAAACGAACCACCCTAAATTTCTCGAAACCTGAAATTTTTTTGAAAAAACGCCAAGACACGTAAAGTTTTATATCGAGGGGGACAACTTTTCATGTCAAATTTTGGTTTCTCACCCCTACTCCTTGCGCCCAGGAGCTACCCCCTTAAGAATTTGAATAGGGAAGGGGTATCGACCAATACATCATTTTAAAGGTCTTTCAAATCCCTATACATCAATGTTTTATTTTTTTAAATCGGACTGTTGATTTTTTAGATATATTAGAAAAACCATGCAATATGCTTTTAAAACTTCCCACCTTAAATTTTTCGAAAACTGGAAGAATTTGGAAAAAAGGCGGACACACATAAAGTTTTATATCGAGGGGCACATTTTTGGCGTTACTGCTACTTCAACCTCCTTGAGTTCTGCAACCCTAACTCAAAAACCCTAAATTTCAAAAGGTATCATGAGACACATCATTTTAAAGCTCTTTTAATTTGCAATACAACTGTTTAATTAGTTTTGTAATTTATCGGTTGGTTCTCAAGAAAAAAAAAACAATATTTATTGTTTGGAAATTGGTTTTTACTACCCTATTCAAATTCTTAAGGGGGTAGCTCCTGGGCGCAAGGGGTAGGGGTGAGAAACCAAAATTTGACATGAAAAGTTGTCCCCCTCGATATAAAACTTTACGTGTCACGGCGTTTTTTCAAAAAAATTTCTGGTTCCGAGAAATTTAGGGTGGTTCGTTTTAAATGGAACACACTGTATATATTAGACTTTACGTCTAACTCGCAGCAGAGCAGCAACAGCAGCCCAGCAGATAAGACCTGAAGATGGTACATGAGATTGTACCGAAACGTAAGGTTGTTTTTAAATTGTTCAACTAAAAAAAATAGCATCGAATTTGTCTTTGACATTCGGTTTCTTTAAAACAAAGTAAGTTAACTTAATAAACTGTTAACAGTTGACTTCAGTTAATTAACTAATTAGGACATAGGTACGTTTACATAAACTTGTTTCTATAAAATACACTGTACATAATAAAAAATACCAAAAAATTTCAGTGAAAATTTTTCAACCATTTGTATATTATACAGTGCTTGCAATATCAAGTCCGACCGCGCTGGAAAGGACGGCTGTTCAATACCCGCGTGAAAAGAACAAGGATAGAACGCCAAATAGAATTTGATTGGCCAGAGCCGGCTGCCGGATGCGTGCGAATTGTAAGCGAGGTCAACTCTGGCAGCCAGTCTGGCTGGATTTAGACTAAATGATTTAATGTTAAGCAAACTGCGTTAGAGTGTAGATGCACATTTTAATTTTCTTTTTAAATATTTTAAATCCTAAAAATAAAATTTTTTGATTTTTTCCTTGAGAACTAGGGCAACAACAAAAATAGTATTCTTAATAAAAAAGATTTCTCAAATAAAAAATAATTTTGAATAAAAATAACTATAAATAAAAATAAAACTCTAAATAAAAATAAAACTCTAAAAATAAATAATAAAAATAAATAAACTCAAAAATTAAATTAAATGTTCGAACAAGCCCCCATAGGCAGCCAAACAATAGCCTAACCTATTATAAAATTCCCACGCACATTAGCTAGGACTTCTGGACTAATATCCCCCAACAAATTAGTTATGCGGATTCCTAAATCATTGAGGTTATTAGCCCGATCTTCCTGGAAAACGTACAACTTCGACTTGAGGTACCCCCACAAAAATCTTTGAATTTCTCGTTCAGAATTACCAGCAAAATGCCAGATTAAAATTTGAACTTTTTGTTCCAACGTGTACATTTTTTAATTAAATAATCTTTTTTACTAAAATTACTACCTCTTGCTGGCACCACTGCAGTTCTCGTTCTGATATCCTCGTGTCAAGCACGCTGCGAGGTGCGCGATGGTTATGCGTTGTCGTAGCCTGCCGGCTGGCCAATCAAATTCTATTTGGCGTTCTATCCTTGTTCTTTTCACGCGGGTATTGAACAGCCGTCCTTTCCAGTGCGGTCGGACTTGATATTGCAAGCACTGTATTCCGATATATACCGATCCTTCATTTAAAAGCTATACATAGGGAAAATATATTGTAAAGTCGACCAGATAAGACGCAGTCAGCACGAAGCGAAAAAGTTTGCAGAAAATATTTGGACAAGTCCATGATACACAAAAACCGGTATGCGAACCAGATTCAAATGTTACAAACAGTTTTGCATAGGCATACGCTATGCATGGTGTTTTACCACGATTTACTTTTAGTTTTTTTTCGAAATTATTGTGTTTTTTTTTAGTATAAACAACGCACGATGGTTTTGCAACGTTTTTCGTAAAGTTTTTACTGCATTTATTGAACAGCAATAACTATTTACAAGCACGGGTGTTTTATACCAGGTTATTCGGAATCGGAACCCTCATTTTGAAAAATAATAATAGGAAGGTAGGAAATAAATTGTTGCTTAAAATATGTTACATTAGTATTAAAAGCGCTTGATGCCAATTTAACTTTCTCTTAACATTTGTTACACTTAATAGTTGCACCCTTTATTTATAAATTTTTGAATATAACCTGAATTTGCAGTTGATTGAGTAAGATCAAATTAATATATTTTAAGATAAAGTACTGACAATAATGAAACGCTGAAACAGTTTTTTTAAATTTTCATTTTAACAAAAAAATGTTGTACAATGAATTTAAAAAAAAAAATAGATGACAGAAAACCGTTAGATATATTTTAATAAAATTTTCAGGATTTATTGTTTAATATTCACATTTTAAATAACACTTTTTCATCACATTTTTAATTAACTTTTAAATAAACAAATGAAAATTTTAATAACTTCTCTCTCAAATTATGAATTTGTTTTTTTTTTTAGTTACATGCATTGTACACTTTAATTAAATATTCGGCAAGAAAATTACACTGCCTACTATTAGTTTAAACAATATGAATTTATTTATCCGCACTGCCGCCGCCATAGACTCGGCATGGTGGCGTCTCCTGGCAGAACATGAACGATGACGCCGAGTCTGACAGAATTTTAAAAAATATGAATTTCAGTAACTATTATATATATTTTTTCCTTTAAGCTATTGCTTCTCTTATTTGGATATATTTTTAATATATACTGCGCGTCAAAATTAACGCTTAATAAGTACAAAAATTCTAACTATAACGCCTTTACCAATCTTTATGAAATTTTGTATAAAAATACTTATATCTCAGTAAACGTTTTCGAGGGTTTTTCGAGAAAATGTTTTTAAATCCCTTTTATTTAATAATAAAAAAATGTTTGAAAAATAAGTTTTATGAATTTTTTTTAAAGTAAATCAAAAATATGCTGTGAAAGACCGTATCTTTAGTATACCCTGAAAATTTTGTACAAATCAAAAGAACAGTAACGAAGATACAGCTTCAAAGTAGGTAAAAATGACCCCTTTTTGATTATTTTACTTAAAAGTGGTCATTTTTGACGACTTTGAAGCGCTGCATTTCTTTCCAAAAAAAGGTGTTTCAGTGGAATAAATTTAAAAGACTTATTGGACATAGTAATTTTGATTTTTTGAATGATTTTTTTTATATTTGATAATAACTAACTAATGAATTTGCCTAACAATGAAGTAAAAAAATGCAATTATGACATAATTAGTTTGTGAGCTAGAAAATTATAAAGAAACCAAAAAAAATTTTCCATGTTATTTAATATTATTATTAGATATTATTTATTATTATTTTTATTATGTTAAATATTATTATGATTATGTTATTTAACTTTAATTTGGTAAAAATAGTGGTCTATTACTAACCGGAAATTTTTTATAAGGTAAACACGCAAACTAGAGATATACGAAATTAATGTTACGTTAGTGGTGGCGTCTAAAAGCACAGCAAGTCTTATAGAAAAATATTACTGATGTTTTAACTGCTACAAACAGTAATGTACTGAATGTTAGGAAGGTACTGAGAATCGGTTTTATATATCTGCACCCATGCCCTTTTCCCACGTGATCTTAAAACGCTCGAGCTCACAGACTCGGCGCCACCACTCCAGGGTTAATAAATAATAAACTGTCTTTTACAATAAAAAATAATGTTATTTGACAAATTTAATTTTTTTTAATTGTATTATTATAACAAATAGATATAATATTTGTTTTTATTTATAAATAAAGACTGTAAAAATATATATTTAAACGTCAGCAGACGTCAGTGTACGTTATCATTCAAATTCAATACGTTTTTATTGTCATTTCAGTACTTTAATTTTTCTACTACTGGCAACACTGGCTGCAGACATATAACCAAATGTAGGCATTTGTACAGGCAAAACCTGATGATTGCGGATGATTGACGATGGTGTGCTACCGGACGAAAAATGCGGTTGTTCGCGGATATAGCAAACCAGGCATAACGATTTTTATCTGCTTTTGTCGGGTTTTGACTTGAAAAGTTATCTATCTAGCTCTTAAATATTTTATTTCCCGTAAAATTCTTACTTCTTATTTTTTTATAAAGTGGTGTATCGCCATTATTGTTAGATCACGTATACTGAAGGCTTACCTTTTCTGGTGGTATCTATGTTAAAGTTGTTATTTGCACAGTTCTTAATAAATTCCCCGGATCTATCTAGCTCTTCTTCTTCTTCTAAATTTTTTTCGCTGTAAAAATCTGCTGGTGTCACAATAAGGTAATTTAAAAATACATTTTTAGTATCAGAATGTATCTAAAAGAAAAAAAAAGATAACTCTGGTAGAAAATAACGTCTTCCCACTTTCAGACAACGTTGTTTAAACTTAGATTTATAGGCTAGAAACTAACGTTTGTTTGAATGTATAAAATAACCTTTTCCCATGCTAAGACAACGTTATTAAAATGTAAACTTTTATATTAGAACCCAAAGTAGTTAAATATAGAAAATGACGTTTTCTCACGTTTCGACCACGTTGTTTGAATGTCTTTTTTTACATTAGAACCTAACGTTTTTACGAAGTTTTCCCACATGTTTTCCACGTGTTTTTTACATACACGACTAAAGTTGTCACAACGTGAGAAACCGGGACATTTCAACATTAAATTATGTAATAAAATAACGGTTTTCCAAGTAAAACGTCTACAACTCGTTTACAATTAAATGACTTATTCGCTTTTTCTGCATTAACTCGTTTTAATATTTGCCAATAAATATTTAAGTTATATTAAATCAAAGTAATAATTACATTTTTTAATTTTTATGAATTATTGATGATGTAACAATGGATTTTAGAATCGAATTAGAATTTTTAGAACTTCTTATACCTAACGTAAAAAAAGCTATTTTTCTGTTGTTTACTTTAGCCTAAAAACAGGCAGTTTTTAACGTTTAAACATTAATTATTGTTATTTTATGGTGATTTTACATAATTTTTAAGTTTTAAGGAAATCCCAAAAAAAATTATAGGAGAAATACTGTTAACCATGGCTTGGTTTAATGGTATAGTTAAGATTTTGAAACGCACACCAAACGCGAAAAGACATTAACCATTAACTAATTATATTTTGTATTATATGATTATATAATAAAGGCACTTCTTAGAGAAGTGTCTTTATTATATACAGCCTACTATTAACTAATTAGTTAACCTTAAGGTATGTTTATTTACGAGGAATTAAGTTAAAACTATGAAGACCAGATTTTAAGGAATCTAAGAGTTTACCTTTAAAGTTGCCATAAAATTTTCTGTTAAATAAAACTTATTATTTCCATCTACTTGTTCCACAGTGGAACGGCAACCCGATTTAGATGGGCAATGTTTAATGGGCACTTTAGCTTCATAAAATTGCCCATTTTGAATTATTACACTTAAGTCGAATTCTAAAAATACAATATTTATTAAATATTACAATTAATTTTTATATTGTTTTTTTAAATATTAACCTGGAAAATCAGGTTGATAATAATGAACTATAAATGTGTATGGTCCTGGAGTAGAAACCTTTCCCTTTAAATCTATAGCTTTCTCTTTGGTGCTTAGCCAGACATATGTAGTATTGTTGTTTTTACCCACTGGTAATCTCATTACTTCTTCTGAATCGAATTGAATAGTTTTACTTTCTGAAGGGTTTCTAAATTCGGATACAATACATTTTCCATCCATTTTAATGCACACTGGACTAGGTTTAATATATTCCAAAGACCATAATTCACTTGGTATAGTATAAATAGAATGAATTCCGACATTTGCATTTTCGCTCTTAAATATTAAGAAATATAAAATAAAAATAAATGCAAAAAAATCATTTAGTACCTTTAATTCTATTGGAAAATTATTTGTATCTACTTTAAAGATACCAACTCCGCCCTGAGAATCTAATACCACTTGTCTGCACATGTGTGTGTAAGGGCAGTTATGTAGTTTTAAATGTCCCATATTTTGTCCATAATTTTGATCTATTTTTAAACTAATCATATGGGTTTGTTCATTGGTTAAGGGAGTAATATAATTTACCAATATTATATATAACCCAGGTTTTGTTACGGTTAAATTGTATTTAATATTGTTTTGTGCCTCATTTAAAAGTGGAACTCGATTAAGTACATCAATTTTTGCTAAATGCTGTAAAAGTATGTGCAGATTTAAAAGTATTGCAAAAAATAATTTATAAACATACATGTCTATCCTCAAAAAACTCTCTAATATTTTTCATATTGTTTCCATTTTGGATATATCCTCCAACACCGTTTGTTCTATCGTAAAAGGATATATTTGGATATGCATATTGTCTGCATATGGGTTCATCATGTAACGTGCAAGGAATTTTAATTTTTTGACGTAACACTGTTGCCAAATAAAAATCTTCTGGTAATAAGACAAAATAATCCTAAAATTAAATTATTAAACACACAAAATAATAGTTCATTAAAAGTCAAGATTTTAATTTAAGTCCCTAAATAGGGCAACCACCCTTAATATTATTATAATATTATTAATGAATTAAGAAAATTATAAAAAAATATGTCCATTTGACGGGCAAAACCCTTGAGATCTTAAAACTTCATTTTTTTGCTAACATTTACTTGGTTGACAAGAAATTTAACAAAAAATGGGTTGTACCTATGTGTACCAATATACCTTATGTATAAAAAAATAACAAATGTTTTTGGTACAAGAGTTTTACAACTTTGATTTTGGAGGATTGGGTAATAAAAAATACTGATACAAAAACTAATAATAATATATTCAATTTTTATTGAAAAACAAAATAAAAAAAACTGAATCAAAATAAAAGAAATTAAATAAAATTAAAATTAAAACAAAAAATAAATTCTGAATCAAATAGGTCACTTTCTGTAAACACATAATCTATTTTGGAACTGTGTGTTTTTATGTGGAATGAAAAGGGACAAAATACTCGAGGCCACAGAGCTATATTACATAAAGTAGAAACCACCAATATATGAACGTGACTCATTGGGTGCCGAACATATCTCAGACATGCTAGCAGTAATGTTTTATTTGTCTTGTACATTCGATGCAGCGGTAAATGTACTCACACGTAGGTTTTTAAACATCCGGTCTAAAATGCGCCATCTGTGATGTAAAACTGCCTAGGTGTTGGACAAAGATGGACATATGACGCGTGTCCTAGCTTGTTACTTTTTTTTTTTGGAATTCAGTAGAGTTCGTGTTTTAGGCAATTTATTTTATTTTATTACATAGTAAGGCAACCAACTTTACCGCCGGCCATTTGTTTTTATATGTCATATGATCTTTGTTTTTGCATATCGTGTTTCTGCATATCGTGTTTCTGCTGTGTGTTTACGTATTAATAATCGTTTTAAACGTTGTAGTGGCAGTGGTTTATATTATGTAACACAGGTAGATGTCGTATAAAAATCCTTACCTAGAAATTCTAGGCTAGAATACAAAAATATTTTTATTATAAAAATTTTGTACTAGTATTAGTTTAATACATTCTGAAGAAGCTACTGTGTAGCGAAACAATTGTCAATATTTAACAAATTTCGTGAAACTAACGCAAGTTGTTTTTATATCCACATAATTTAAATATCTTTCACTTTGTACCTGACCTGCGTAAACATTTTTGTTTTTTGTCACCAATACTGAAATATTTGCGTTTACAGTTAAATGAATAGTATATTCTGTAACAAGTTTGGAATACGGCATATTCCGCTCGAGTGAAAAGTTTGTCACACGAGCCGAAGGCGAGTTTGACGGTTTCACGAGAGGGGAATATGCAATTCCAAACGTGTTTCAGACTATACTTTTTCTACGTTTCCAAAAAATACCATAGACAAAGAATTTAATTGGAAGAAAGTGAGGTTGGATCGGTCTAAAATTTGTTAGATATTATTTATTTATTTATTGCTTAAACGGGAAAACCCCATTACAGTATAAACATTACATATAAAGGTTGTGTGTTAAAAACAGAGATGTCGCCACGAGTGTGCATTTTGTCATCAGATGATAGAATATTTCATTAAAGTTAAAAGAAAAGTTTGTTTATTAATTATTTTCTAAGAAAATTACATTTTATTTAATTATCGTAGATGTTAATTATTAAATTTTAACTTTAAAAGCAAATATATCATAAGTATAGCAACCAACATTACACTCAAGATTTTTTACAAATACTTATGCCCCCGTTACACTGGACCGTGACCTTCGATAGATTGCTTCGTACGAATGTGCCGGATGAGTCACGTTCATATATTCGTGGTTTCTTCTGTATATTACATTGGATGGTAGACTTTTGCTACTGTTTTGCAGTGCTACAATGCACACATCTGCGGGGCAAATGGTCGCTCACATTGGTCGAACGTATTGCAATATGCAAAGTCTGTCTGCCATCTGGATGCCTACGCTTTCTGGCTCTTCCAGTTTGCGATGCGGGGTCTCTTCTTGTGCGTCAGCAAAAGATCCCAATCAGCTGCGAGGACAATAGTGATTGCAAATGGATCATTGCCTTACGATTGGGATGTCTTTCCTTATATATATAAATATTTTCACCCGCCATCTTCTATTTTTTCTTGAAATATTGTACGCCGAATGCAATTAATTGAAATGATCTACTATAAACTTATTGTAATCTTTGTTAGAAACAGGACATCAACAAGGGGTCGTGTGCCATCTTTTTGTGTTCTGGGGACTTGCGCTACCTTTAAAGGGTCATGCATGGTACTCACTGTGGCAACAGATTGTTTGAACCTATCCTTCCATTTAGATAATTATAGCTCGCCACTGATAACACCATCAAATTCTCCGTCCTATTTCAGGAAAGAATTTTTGTGTTTATTTTATGGTGGCGCAGGAAAAAATGTCTTGTCCAATAAATGTTTTGTCAATGAAACTGAAGAGAAAAAAATATCAAAAAGAGGCAGTACCAAAATCCTTTGTCACTGACTATTTATTGACAACAAATTTACCTAGAGAATTTTTTTATCACGAATTTGCTGAGCTCTCATATATAGCCCTCATACATAGACATGCCCAAACAATATCCACTAACTGCGCATGCAATTACCCACATTTTAAAGCCCCGTTTGATGGGCTTTATCGGCATAGATTGTTTTAGGGAGCTACGGCCCTTATATTTGAAGGATTAAATATCAATACCAAATGCCTCGAAACATAATCCACGAAATAAAGTTTTCGTAATTTACCTTTTTTGGGAATGCTTTCATTATCATTTAGACGTTTATGACGTACAATTTTCAAAAACTATTTCAGGGTTATAACATCTTGAATTTGTGTACAATTGAAATTTTAGTTAGAACTCCAATACAGCCTCATACTGGGTAGGCAATGAAAGCCCTTAATTATCAATACTCCAATGAAAGCTTTGAGTTCTTCTATAGTGAGATAAAAAAACGAGTTTTTGGCTTGCGTACAGATTTAAATGTTTAACAATACGATTAAGAAAAAAGGCGACAAAATTGTCAGAAATCTGCGTCTTTAGTTTCAACAGAATCCGAAATTGAAGAAGAAACAGTAGAAAATCGACTTGGGCGATGGTCATCAGCATCCGAAATTGAAGCAGAAACATAAGGAGCTGTATTTGGAAGATCATCATCAGCATCTTCATCACGTAGTTGACTGCCATCTTATTGTCAACCTTCATTTCTTGCAAAAGGCGATATTTTTAGTGTCGTCCAAGTTGTAATGTTTTTTGAAATTTATTTTTTGCCTAAAACATTTTTAGACAAACAAAGTGAGCCTTCTGCATAAATTGCTCTAAAATTACCCATAAACTACGATAAATTTATATTCTTACCTTTTTGTATAGAAATTTCCGTCCAAACTTCACGGAACTGCATTGATTTTCACAAATTACGACACAATTTCTGAAACACAATTTTTGCTGTGTCTTCTTACATACTTTTGTCACTTTTGTCAATTTTGTCAATAGATGGCGCTGGCGCCATATTTAGTTGTACATATGTGTACCGAATAGTGTCTATAGACCCATGGAGTCCTTAAAGCTGGAATTCTCCGCAATCCTTATTAAATTTAGACTGTATAGTGTATGGTACAACACTTAAAAAAGTGGATAATTTATCCACTTTCAATCAATATTAATGTAAAAATAATCTTTTTTTAATTTATGAATCAACGAAATTCAATATTAAGGGTGATTACCCTATTTAGGGGCTATAATTAAAATCTTATGTTATATATAATAACATTATGTTATATATATTATGTATACATGTATAAATTTTTAATGCGTATAGGGACAATTTTTTAGAAATAGGGAATAGTGGAACAATATGTACTGCTATCGTTATTAAAATTTGTTGTAAGTGTCTCCACCTAATAAAAAAATCAATAAAATATTTAAAATTCCCATGTTTCTTGAAGCAGAAAACATTTTGTTTTATAAAAAAAATTAAATAGTGAAAATAATATTTGTTTTCATAATTATTGCACAAAGTGCTTACTTAAAAACCTATATTGGAGTTCGGTCATGGTTCTGGAGAAGCGCGCATCGCTTATGAAAGAGTGTGAAAAATATTAGAATTTACGGCCCAGGAGAGGCAAGATGGGATTCCCGGAATCCTTTTATAAAGGAAAAGAGGAATTTAAATAAAGCTATATTTGAAGGTTATATAACTTATATGTGTGCACGTGTTTGTCCGACAACCATTGTCCAATGGTAGATGGATCTTGCTGAAATCATTGGACGTTAAAACTAGTACCTGGTTAATAAGTACCTATGTCCAGGACCAAAAGGGCGGTAGGTTTGGCTGTAAATCGGCTCTATAGTTGAAAGAAGAATCTATATTGATATACAATGACAGATAAGTATACTCAATAACAGTTGATTATCGATGGATTATTATAGATGTAACGTTTTAACAAAAAATCGTTTATACTTGAAAAAGGACAACTTTGGTGATATGTTAAACAAATATTAGAAATATTCCCCAACACCAAAACAAAACACAAAGTGCTTAAAGTACTTTTCGCCAACGATGTTGGCATCTTCAGAAGCGAAGTGTAAAAATCGTTTAAACAAATAATGTAATGCATCCATTTTTTTTCTGCAAGTAACATTTTTATTATCTTAAAGTTATACGTCAATACTGGGAATTAAATTCCTATTGTTGTGATGTACACATGTGTAACGTTCCAACGCAACGCAACGATTTAGCATTTACTGAGTTTAATTAGTTTCGGCATAAGTGGTGGAAAAAGAATAGTCACTTGAAAAAGAGTTTCGTCTGGAGTCGATCAGGTGGGCGGTCCTTTCTCGTGACGTATCATTACGTCCGTATGCGGATATAGTCTA